CTGAAGTTCAGGGCCACAGAAAGTGATGTCAGGCCCCAGGGACACTAGTGGATGTGAGGCCTTGATTTACTCTAACATCAAAATACTAATACAGTGACTGGGACATTGTAAACTTAAACATTACATAACTAACTTGTTTTGTAATAAAAACAAAAATCACACAGATTTTCCAGAAAGAAAATAGATGGGAAAACTACTTTCTAAATCATTTACAATCATCCCCTCTCCACAGTTCTGAATATGAGTGGCATAGCGGTGCAGTGTTCAGCAATCAGGGGACACACACAGAGGCATATCTACAAGGGGATGTACCCTCCAATAAAAATATAGTTATCTCAGGTGTCCCCCAATTGTAATTCCTACTTAATAAAATCATGATATACTTTTTTCTGTATATTTTGTTCTATTTGGTATTCTGAGTATATCAGCAGTTGTATAGTGGCCTTACACCCATCACTGATTTGATCTTGGAATATGCCCGAACATCTTTTGTGGTTTCAGAATGCCCCTCCCCTTTATTAAGCTGTCCCCTCCTTGTCGCCATTATAGTACTAATACTGACATATTCTCTATTCTCATTCTCTTTTTTTGAAATACCTTCATCCAACTGATTGCAATGATACTGGTATTGATGGATGCCTCTCACTCTCTATCCAAATATATTGAAATTATGCCGCAAACTCCCATTAGTGACAATACTGGCCCCAATAGCAGGGGTGGGCATGAAAGGTACTTGTTGGGTAAAATAAAACTACTATACACAGAATCAGTCACTATAGTGTCTAATTCAGCAGCCACCCTTGAGGGGGTATGCAGGGGGTATTGCCCCTCCATCTGATTTTATATTGACCAATTCTCTATATTATTTCCCTGTTACCATTCATGTACTCCCCCTAATATTGGGGCAAATATTGTGGGTATTGGGGGGTTTCCGAAAAATAATTTCAATATATTTGATAGTAGGGAAGGAGAGGAAGCCATTGAAATAAAAAAAAGTTGCAGTTGGATATGAGATGGTATTCTGAAAAATTACCCTATTTTTTAATAGGTTTACTGAGAAATGTTATCACATGTCAACAAGACACCAGACCAAAGATGAACATATCAACTTATTTAGATATTCTATAAGTAACTGATTAGACAGTGAAATAATCTGAACTAATTCATTTTAAACTCTAGATTTAGAACCTGAACTAATTCACAAAGTGTGGACTAGTTTACCTGAACATCTAATGAATTAAAAACGAGGGACCAATACATAAACCTACTGATAATATTCTTCACTAGAGTTGCATTTTAGCCTACGAGAAATGTGTAAATCGAGCCTCATCACACGGACATTGCATACTCAAACAGAAATCTACAAATTAAGGATAAAGTGATTAATAAAGCACGTCTCCATTGCAACAAACTTCCAGACATTACATATTTAAACACAGATGAGTAAAGCCGCTTTGAAGATTTATCGCAATAAATATTTTTTCGCTGTCTTCTTCTTCTTCTTCTTTTCTTCTTTTATAGGGTATTAGACTATTGTCTAGTCTATATCCCCTGGATCTATTTTCTTTATTTCTCGTCGTCTGTCTCCGGCGAGGGTCCACGTGCACAGGCCGGCCAACAGAACGGGGCCTCTATAACAAATAACAAATACATTTATAACCCTTAGTGAAGATATTTCCGTACTTATACAGTTACGTCGTTTATCAGAATAGGAAAATACAAATAATAATAACATTTATAACCCTTACTGAAGATATTTCCATACTTATACAGTTACGTCGTTTATTCTAATAGGAAAATGGACCTATATGATTATGTGTATTGGGAGATAAAGTTACGTCGTTTGTTCTAATAGGAATATGGACCTATATAATTATATGTATTGGGAGATAAAGTTATGTAGTTTGTTCTAGTAGGAAAATGGACCTATATAACTATGTGTATTGGGAGATATAGTTACGTCGTTTATTAGAATAAGAAAATGGACCTATATAATTAGGTATATTAGGAGATAAAGTTACGTCGTTTGTTCTAATAGGAAAATGGACCTATATTATTATGTGTATTGGGAAATAAACTGTATTTCATCCCAACGATCACAAAAGGCGAGGTGGTGGAGGGTTGGCCAGCCTGCGTGATGTAAACAGTGCATGGCGGCCCTTCCTTCGAGCACGTGAGATGGGCATTGCAATAGTCTAAAACCCTATAAAAGAAGAAAGAAGAAAGAAGAAGAGATGGGCATCGTGGAGAGGAAGCAGAGAGTCTTTTATAAGAAGACCAAGAGAGGGAATATTATCAAGGTATTGGCTATAAAGGCTGCGGGGTCTGTGTTATAGTTCGTTTGGTGTTGGTTTTAAAGTTTACGTGGAGTTGGGCTTAGTAAGGTAAAATCCTTACTAAAAAAAATGGTCATTGTTACATGTATCATTAGCAACATGACACAGAGGTTATGTGGACACACATGATTTAAATGTGGTGTGTCTAATTACTGCAGTCACAGGGAACAGCAATTTGGCATGAAGCTACATGATGCAACCAGCTGAAAGTGAAAACATTTGTAGTCAAATAGACTATGTGATGTTTGGAAATTAACAACAACAGTACACTGCCAACACCAATATATATGGCTTCAGTAGATACCTCATAATGTCAACCAGGAGTGCCAGGCAGAGTAGTGTTAGTCATTGGAAACCAATTGACATTATTGTATTGTTTTGAAAAATAAGGAAATCAGCTCCTGTTATTGTATTAACCCTCTTTACATATACATGTATATATACACATATATGGATATATGCGTATACATGTATATATATGTACATATATATACACATATATGTATATACATATATATATTTACATACACACACACACACACACACACACACACACACACACACACACACACACACACACACACACACACACACACACACACACACACACACACACACACACACACGCACACACACACACACACGCGCACACACACACACACACACACACACACACACACACATATATATATATATGATATTTATATACATACATACATACATATATGTGTATATATATATATATATATATATATATATATATATATATATATATATATATATATATATATATATATATATGTATATATATATATATATGTATATATATATATATATATATATATATATATATATATATATATATATATATATATATATATATATATATGTATGTATATATATATTGTGGTCAGTATTGACTCCTGGAGGTTGATTGGACTATCTAAGGGGTTGATATACCCCTGTGGGTTAAGAATGGGTTAATAAATGCCAGAAACAAAAAAATATTCTTTATCTCTAAATACTGTGTATGGATCATTAGAAACATTGTAGTTATTGACTAACTCCTACTTGGAGAATTAAAGTGGGATAGGGGTTTGTGGCAGATGGGTCAGATTTGTTTCAGTTCCCCTTCTACCAGGAAGGTTGGCAGGCTCTTGCCAAATTACCGACAGGCACATGATTATTGCAAAGTCACTCTTTCTCTGAAGGTTACTTCTACATTTAACATACTAATTATGAAATGTAATTATCCTAAGCTTTTTGACTGCAGTAGATAGACTTTAAAGATGATGGTAACTTTTGGTGAAAGGAAAGACAAATAAAATGAAGAGAAAAATTCCATTATGGTCACCTCAAAAATACCAACACTAGCAAAATATTAGATGATATACAAGTAATTTACAGGGAAGCATCTTGCTCAGGGAGATCTAATTTAAAGTTTAATTAACCCATTCCCGCCGGGCATGCCATGCCATGGCCATTGTGAGATTACTTGTTAGATTGTTTTCACACATAGATGGCTACACTTGTACTAAATCACCAATGAGCCAGTTACAAGTACCGCCTGTCTCGCCCGTTCAACCTTTTCTTTGATTTACGAAATATTTTACGGTATCTTATTTTGCTGTTAAAAAACATTATAAAAATTACAATGTTTATGATAAAAATAACACCATCAATATTCATGGCACTAGTGAAAAATACGTGTTTCAAATCAGGCGCTAACAGAGCCATCTATGGACAGACATTTACCAAAAAAGTATAGAAAATAGGCACAGCATTTTCCCCATTTTTTGTTCATTTTCCCCGGCGGCAATAGGTTAAGATGGGTTTTCAGTATCTGTATAAAGTATTCTATTCGGTCCCGAGCATTACAAATAGGCTAATTACTGTAACAAATGTATAAACATTTAGACTAGTTATTTCATTAAGGTCTCCTAAAGAAAAGGGTATTGTTATGTCACATATTTTTGTCAATTATTATATAATCCGCAAAAGCTACTCTCATAAAATGCTCAACAATGATACACCCACAGCTTTCAGAAATGAAGAAAACCATTAAAACCTATCAGTCTCTTATGACCATTTTGTCAAATCAAGAAGATAAGAAATTTGGTTACATTTATGTACTTAACAAATAGATAGCTAGAGAGGAGAGGAGACAACAGAGAAACATAATCACAGTATGCTCTGTATAATAAACCCTTCTTCTAAGTATTACCTTCTAACTTCCAGGTTGTAAGAGAACACTACCTGAGAGATGACGTTTGGTGTGGCCTTGATGGGTGTGGCACGTGTGAAGGCGAGTGCCGGCCTTTGGATTCTTTAAGTACCAGTGATAGCTCTTTGGTGCAAAATCCACATCACATTATCATAGATACCAATGTTGCACTCCATCAGGTATGTGAAAGGAATAGATTTCCTATGTGAATGTAAATTTGTAAAATTCATATGCTTTATATGTAGCTGTGCTGTTATAAGATAGAAATATGAGAAAATATAGGAAGAAAATTAATGGAATCTGCATTTTAAAGTTTAAAGTAATAAAGATCTTCCCTTCTCGTGCATTCACAGATTGACGTTTTGTGCCATGATGACATAAAAAATGTGATCATCCCGCAAACAGTGCTGCAGGAGGTGCGACACAGATCCTTGCCAGTGTACAAGAAACTGCGGGATCTGATTGAGGAATCCAGTTCCAGGTGACTGGAAGTTGCCGAGATTGGTTGAGGGGTTCCAAATGACTCATTCTCCAAGGGTTCCGAAGTAAACAGTCCAATATTAGATCAATGTCTCTGCATTCCTACTACAGTTACCTAATTACACTTGTTAAGAAGTTAAAGTTAAGGAGTTCGCTAAATTAATTATTAGTAAGACTAATTTTAGTTGAAAAGTAATTCACCAAATTGGCAATTAATTAGCCATAATAAGGTTACTTTCGCCAATGGCTATTTGGCGAGTGGCTATCGTGAACTTAGATATGTATGTGTGTGTGTGTGTGTATGTATGTATGTATATATATATGTATATGTACATTATATATATGTGTATTTGTGTATATATATATAGAGAGAGAGAGAGAGAGTGATATAATTTTTTTATAATTATTATTGTTATTATTATTATTATTATTATTATTATTATTGTTATTGTTATTATTATTATTATTGTTATTATTGTTGTTATCATCATCATGATAATAATGCTATACATACACTTGTTTTAGTGAATAAGGAAGAAAGAAGGAGCTCTTCCAAATGGTAAATTTTATTTAATTTTTCAGTGACTGTTACATCGAGCGCGGCGAAAAGGAGTCGGCCAATGATAGAAATGACCGTGCAATCCGAATCGCGGCCTGGTGGTACAAGCAGCACTTTCGCTCGACCAACCAGAACATTATTCTCATCACCAACGACATGACGAACCGTGACAAAACAAGGGAGTTGGACGTGGAGTCTTATACGAGTAAGGATGTCTCCTCCAGTTGTTTCTTGTCTGTTCTTGTAAGATTATAGCGTCATTTGTTAAGTCTGAATACATATTCATCATTTTTGTTAGGGCGCGAGACAGTTTTTTAGAGTGAAATGCGCCTCGTAGGTATTGAAATTGGACTTTGGTGAATGGTGGTTCTGATGGACTGTGGATCTTTTCCAGTGTTTGAGTATGTCTCCAGTCTCCAGAGTTCACCTGGCTTGTTAGACTTGGTGGCCAACATCGAGGAGGAGAATGAGGAGGAAGAGGGAATGAAGAAGTACCTCTACAGTCCACACATGAGCATGGAGCAGATGCGGCTTGAGATTAAGGTAGGATTCTCTTTATCTTTTCTTTCTTTCTTTCTTTTCTTTTTTTTTTCTTTTTTTTTTGTAATTGAAATGATGAGTCAAATCTTAGAGAAACCATGAGAACGTTGCTATTTCCTTTCAGTTTAGAAATAAGTAAATATTAGCAAATGCATGAACTATATCATGGCCTACCCAGAAAACCGTAACTCTACCTTTCACATTTCCAGAGTGGCCGTCTGCGTCAAGGTGTGCTGAAGACATCGAGGCACAACTACCTGGAAGCCAATGTGATGGTGGAAGGCTTAGAGAAGTCTGTGCTGATTCAAGGACGGCATAACATAAATCGAGCTCTACATGATGACACTGTTGCCATCAAGTTGTTTCCCAAAGAGCAGTGGTCTGCTCCATCAAATGTTGTCATTGACCAAGAGAAGCAGGAGGAGGAGAAGAACCGTAAGACTTTGATGTGTTGCAGATGGAAATGTACAAATGGAGGGGGGAAAGATTATATTTTATTTATTTATTTATTTATACTCTATTTATGATACCTTTTAGGATAGAAATAAAGCCATATTATTTGTATTGAAATTTATTACTTGTATTTATCGATAGATCATTTAGTGTCTTTCTTTTACCTCTGAATTATATCTGGTCTAGTCTTATGTAACTGATACATTTTCCTTCACAGTTAACAATGACGACGAGAAAGCAGAAGAAGCCAGTCTTAAGCAGGAGCAGGCTCTCTTGGCATCAGGCAAGGGGGACGGTGAACGGCAGCCAACTGGATGTGTGGTGGGAGTCATCAGGCGCAAATGGCGGCAATATTGTGGCATTTTGAAGAAAAGTGACTTTGCAGAAGTAAGATTATATGTATATTACTGTAATAGCTGGATGATTTTGGCATTTCCTTGCATTTTGGTTATATACTTGTTCACTTAATATAAACCTAGGTAAGAACCTTGCTATTGACTCCTGCCAGGACTATCCAGGAGGACTACCCTCCTGGATAGTCAAACTCTGATTTACCTCTCACTCTTCCATTGTCACATACTGGTGGTTCATTTGGTGGTACCAAAACTTAACCCACTGATTTTGTGTCAGTCAGAATTAATCCTTGTAAAGGAGTTTTTTCTTATCTTAGACAAAATGTTTTATAAACTCTGTTTCTTTCAGTCCACACGCCACTTGTTCATCCCAGCAGACAAGAAGATCCCCTTCATCCGCATTGAAACGAGGCAGGCAGAAATGCTACAGAACAAAAGGATTATTGTAGCCATAGATTCTTGGCCAAGAGATTCCCGTAACCCTAAGGTACAATGATTATGATGTAGAACTTTATCTTCCTGTTATTTAAAATTCCATTTCACTTTTTCATGAAGAGATATTAATTGCCTGAAATTTATCCATGCTTTCACTTTTTTCACTTTTTTAAATTGAATCCTAGTATGAATGATTTCTATCCAAATTAGTTTACAGAGAGAACAATTCACGCCTTCCTTTCAGGGTCACTTTGTTCGTGTGATAGGAACTATTGGGGAAGCAGATTCAGAGAACGAGGTCATCCTACTGGAGCACGACTGTCCACACACCAAATTCTCAGAGGCAGTCCTCAACTGTCTCCCAAAACTGCCATGGATAATTACAGCCAAAGTAAGTTATAATTTTCAATCAATGTGATGGTGCTTATTCACCAGGGAATCATCTGCCAGGCCTAGCTGATCTCACCTATTTACAATTTTCCCAGATTTTGGCAAGATATGGTTTGGTTTGTTTTTTAATACTTTTAGTGTTAACAACATTATAATGATAATAATGTCACTACTAATCATAATAATAATGATATTGCTACACACATGAACCATGCACATAGCTTAATCTGAATTTGACAAGAAAATGAGAGGAGGATCATAGAGAGCTGAGCTTTTGAGCTCATATTTTGATACATATGCTTGGAATGCAGGCAGAAGGGCTGGGTGGGAGGACCCAGCAGGGCTGAAGGGAGAATTAGTGTAGCTTAGATGGAGTCAGAGAAAGAGGAGGAGTGATAGAGGAAAGGAAAGGAGAAGGTATAATGTGGTCACCAAGGAAAGTCCCTGCTGATATGCCTGCTTGAGCAGTGCTAGAGTCCTGCTGACACTCCCACCACAGCAGTGACCTCTTAAATGTAGAGCAGAGAATCCAGCAGACGCTCCTGGTATGAGAGTAAGCAGACCAAGAGGACTAGAGCAGACAGAAAGTTTGTGATTACAGTGTTGTGTCAGGGACAGGGAACAGAGGATGTGTTGACACAAGTATGATAGTGTGGCTACATTAAGGCCTACAGAAAGATCAAGTGCTTGTGACCAGTGTGAGACAGTAGTTTCCCATGGGAGAAGTAGTGGGTGCATTGATGATTGTGCCCATGCATTCATATATAGTTATGTACATAACTATATATTACCATAATATATTGTTCAGTTATATTATTGTGTTTATGTGTTTTGGACCTAAGATGAAAGTGCCAGTATGTATTTTATGGAGGTTCTTCTAATTATAGTTTAGAAAAGGAACAGTATATTTATCCATTCCATCCACATTATCCGCCTAACATTTCAATATCAATAATATTGATGATGATAAATATAGTAATAATAATGATAATAATATTAATAGAGGTAACAATAATAATTATTCTGGGTATGAGGATGCTATATACTAAAATATATCCTTTTGACAACAGGATGAACTTGAGCGAGAGGACTTACGACACCTTGACATCTGTTCTGTTGATCCTGTAGGTTGCACTGATATTGATGATGCTTTGCACTGCCGTGAACTCCCCAATGGAAACTTTGAGGTAATTGTCTGTAATGCATTTTCATATGCATTTTCCTTTTAGTTTTGTTTTTTATTTACTGTTATTTTGTGTGTGTGTTTGTGTGTCTCTGTGTCTGTCTGTCTCTCTGTCTGTCTGTCTGTCTGTGTTATTGTCTGTGTGTGGCAGATAATCTATGGTATTGATGCCTTTATGAGTCTTGTTATTCTTTCCACAAGTTATCATTTACTTCTTAAACACATACACACCTTGTACTGTATTCCACCATTAAACAAAGACACTGATCTGTTTCAGGTCGGTGTTCATATTGCTGATGTATCTCATTTCATCCGACCACACACCGCCTTGGATAAGGAGGCTCAGAACCGCAGCACAACTGTATACTTGACTAACCGGCGTATTGACATGGTTCCTGGTGAGTTATACATTTTATGCAACTGGTCATCCTTTTTCTTGTCGTGTATGCTTTCTTCTGGTGTTGATATAAAGAATGCATCCTTTCTAGAATTCCTCAAATCTCTGATGATAATGGTGTTACTTGCATGTGTATTTATGTTATTCATAGGTCATTATTTATATATTTTTCTTCCTTTATTTTCCCGATTTTGATTTTCTGATTTCTGTATGATCATAAATACTTTCTTTTTCATTTTTTATCCTTTCTTTATTTAATGTATTTATGTGTTACCATAAGAAATAGACCAGTATATATCATAGTATATTTGAGCTTATTTCATTTTTTCTTTACATTCTTTTTCATGTGTTTATTTAGTGGTTGTAATGATAGTAATCATCATCAACTGCTGAACTGAGCTTTGTGCTACTTGTCCCCTCCTTCTGGTAAGGACACATTTGCTAACTTGGGATCCTTTGCAAGTGTGGTTAGACTACAATTTCACCAGACTTAGCCCAAGTTCCATTAGCCAAAATCCCAAAGCCACTTCATGTCACCCAGCTTCCCATTTTGGTTCCATTACAATGGCATTCTTCCATACCTAGTGCATCTTCAAAAACATTTTTTATAGCATGCTTTATAGCACTTGAGGATGAGGGTATCAGAAACT